CGAAGAAGAAGGTACGAAAAAGTTTTTAATTTCTAAATACTTTGATTTTAAATTTATAGATTCCAAGCCCATACTTCCTCAAGTGCACGAATTGCAAGTCCTGGTGAACAAAATCAAAGCGGTGAAAATAGACATTCCTGAAACCTTTCAAGTTGGTGCAATCATTGCGAAGTTACCAAGTTCGTGGAAAGGCTATAAAAAGAAACTGTTACACAGTTCTGATGACTTTTCCTTGGAGAAAATCCAGAAGCATCTTTGAATCGAGGAGGAATCGAAGGAGAGGGAAAAATCAGAATCTGCGGGTCTTTCCAAAGCCAATGCTGTGACCAGAAAGGAAAAGAAAAAACATGATGTCAAGAAAAGTCACATCGCACCAAAAAAGGAACATACCAAGTTCAAGAACTTCGGTGGTCCGAAGGGTCCGAAAAATGGATGCTTTGTATGTGGAAAACCTGGACATTATGCTCGAGATTGCAGGCATAATAAATCAAAAAAGGAGATCAATGCAGTGAATGCTAATGATGATATAATTGCTACTGTGAGCGAAATTATGGCAATCAAGGGCAAAGTCTAAGGCTGGTGGTATGATACATGTGCCACGGTTCATGTCTCATATGACAGGGCTGCATTCAAAACATATTCTGAGGCAAATGATGGACAAGAAGTACAAATGGGAAATGAAGTGTGATCCAAAGTTGTTGGAACCGGAACGGTCGAACTCAACTTCACTTCTGGAAAGAAAGTTACTCTTGTTAATGTGCTTCATGTCCCAGACATGAATAGGAATCTTGTTAGTGGGGATTTATTGGGAAAACCGGGTATTAAATCTGTGTATGAATCGGGCAAACTTATTTTGACCCGTAATGGTGTGTTTGTTGGAAAAGGATATTCCGTTGAAGGAATGATCAAACTATGTATTACTGATAACATGATTAATGAAATTTCCAATTCTGCTTACATGCTTGATTCAGTCACTTTATGGCACAATAGATTAGCACATATTGGTATTAGTTCAATGAAGAGACTAATTAAACTTGGCTTGATATCATGTAATATCAAAGATTTCAATAAATGTGAATTATGTGTTAAATCAAAAATGATTAAGAAACCTTTCAAAAGTGTTGAAAGAAATACAAATCTGCTTGATCTTGTGCATTCAGATTTGTGCGAATTTAATGGCATGTTGACCCGTGGGGGAAATAGATATTTCATTACATTTATTGATGATTGTTCTAGATACACTTATGTATATCTCTTAAAACATAAAGATGAGGCTTTTAATGCCTTTAAGAGTTACAAAGCAGAAGTGGAAAATCAATTAAGTAGAAGTATAAAAGTCCTTAGGAGTGATAGGGGCGGTGAATACTTTTCTACTGAGTTTGATGCGTTTTGTGAAGAACATGGTATAATACATGAATGTTCGGCACCTAGAACACCACAACAAAATGGCATAGCAGAAAGAAAGAATCGAACATATCAAGAAATGATGAACGCCATATTATTGCATTCCGAACTACCTTTAAATTTGTGGGGCGAAGCTTTATTATCCGCTTGTCACATAATAAATAGAATTCCCTTAAAGAAAAGTGGAATTTCTCCATATGAGGTATGGAAGGGCATGACACCAAATATTGGCTATTTTAAGGTGTGGGGGTGTGTGGCATATTACAAAAACATGGATCCTAAGAGAACCAAGTTGGGTCCTCGAGGGATAAGATGTGCATTTGTAGGATATGCACAAAATAGCAAAGCATATAGACTGTTAAATTTAGAGTCTAATATTATTGTTGAATCCCGGGATGTAGAATTCTTTGAAAACCTTATAACTAAGGATAAAGAATCAGAGTCGGCCATAAATAAAGAATCTTGTGAAAAAGACTCTTCTCAGATTGTAGAAATACAACCTGAAGACACATCTCGAATAAATGAACCACTACCCGAACCTAGGATAAGCAAAAGAGTCCGGAAAATAAAGAACCTAGGACCAGACGAAATTGATTCTCAATCCATTTCATTTTATCTGGTTGAAGGAAATAGTACAAATTTTATTAAAAGCATTCCGGTAATTCTTCAAGTAGGGGAAGATCCTAAAACTTATAAGGAAGCAATAGCTTCAAGAGACTCCTCTTTTTGGAAAGATGCTATCCGAGATGAAATGGATTCAATTATGTCCAACCACACTTGGGAACTTGTTGATTTACCAAAGGGATCAAGACCCATTGGATGCAAGTGGGTGTTTAAAAAGAAATATCACAGTGATGGTACATTAAACACTTATAAAGCCAGATTAGTGGCAAAAGGATTTAGACAAAAGGAAGGTATAGATTATTTTGACACTTATGCACCTGTAGCGAGAACAACCACTATAAGGTTGTTATTTGCTTTAGCATCTTTAAATGATCTGATTGTTCATCAAATGGATGTTAAAACAGCATTCCTAAACGGAGACCTCGATGAGGAAATCTACATGGAACAACCAGAAGGACACGTCCTTCCTGGAAATGAACAGAAGGTGTGCAAACTTGTCAAATCTCTATATGGCTTAAAACAAGCCCCAAAACAATGACATCAAAAGTTTGACTCTACGATAATGTCAAATGGATTTATTCCTAATTCTTGTGACAAGTGTTTATATACAAAAGTGTATAATAACACTGTAATATTTTTGTGTCTTTATGTTGATGACATGCTAATAATTAGCAATAGACTTAATGGAATTCTAGAAACAAAAAGGTTTCTAACTTCCACTTTCAAGATGAAAGATCTTGGGCTTGTTGACACAATTTTAGGAATAAAAGTTAAGCAAAACAGTGGGGGTTATGAACTTAATCAAACACATTATATTGAGAAAATGCTTGATAAGTTCAAACACCTGAAATTCAAGGAAGTAACTACTCCATTTGATCATGTAATCAAACTTGAAAAGAATGATGGAAGAGCAGTGGCTCAATTAGAATATGCAAGTGCGATCGGATGTCTTATGTACTTAATGCAATGTACTAGACCCGATATATCATTTGCAGTTAGTAAAATGAGTAGATTTACTAGTAATCCAAGTAATGAACATGGGAAGGCAATCACAAGGATATTCGGTTATTTTTTGAAAACCAAAGATCTTGGCCTTCATTATGGTAGGTTTCCTGCTATATTAGAAGGATATACCGATGCCAGTTGGATCTCTGACGTGGGAAATCACAAATTTACAACTGGGTGGATATTTACACTAGCTGGAGGAGCAATCTCTTGGAAGAGCAAGAAACAAACATGCATTACTCTTTCGACCATGGAATCAGAATTCGTGGCTCTCGCTTCCGCTAGTCAAGAGGCAGAGTGGTTGAGGGATCTTCTTTTGGAAGTTCCATTGGCTAAAGACAATGTTTCAAAGGTAATGATACACTGCGATAGTCAGGCCACTTTGGCAAGAGCATTTAGCGAAGTGTATAATGGAAAGTCCAGACATATAGGACTTAGACATTCGTTCGTAAGAAAACTGATTAAGGATGGAATCATTTCACTTACGTATATACGAACAAGCTATAATTTGGCTGATCCGTTTACTAAGCCACTGGCCAGAGACTTAGTAAGAACAACCTCGAGAGGTATGGGGTTGAAACTCCTTGAGTAAGAGTTCCGACAATGGCGGCAACCCAATCTTAAGTTAACAGAACATTAACGTTAAGATTTTCAATGGGTAATAACAAGTCGTTGATTTGGATAATTGTCTAACATTTCATAATTATGTTGACATTAGAAATGAGGGTTGAGTTTTATCTTAAACTCTTAATGAAGTTCAATACCGAGGGTACGTATCTATTGGAAACAGATACTATATGAACTTCACCTATGTGAATTATGAGATGGTGCCGTCTCAAAGTGAGAGTTGGAGTTTCTCTCATGAAAAATTCATGAAACAGGATAGCACATGGCCATAAATAAGTGCTAAGCGAGTTATGCAGAGGAAGAATCTTTAAGGAGTGTGTGTAAGGTAACATCGGTCTATTCATATGGATTCATGGTTTAAAAGCATTGCTACCTAATATTCCGATTAAACCTTGTGTTATTCTTACTAAGGCTAAGTTTAAAATCGAAAGACACTTAACTGTATTAATACTTCTTATGTCCCATTTCTGGAATTATTATTTTGTCATTATTAGAACAAGTGGGGGATTGTTGGAAATAACAATCTATTTCCATTAAAGTTGTTCCAAAATGACAAAGTGGGTGTTATAATAAATGCTTAGTCCCACATTGGAAGAGGAGTAAAATTAAATAGCATTTATAAGGCACTTGGAACAATGTAATTTCCAAAAGAGCCAAAAAGGATAAAGTGCCACATAGTCACATGTGGTGGTGCCAAAACTTATGTCACTTGTCTCATACAAAACACCCCTCGCCGGTGTCGCCACCGGATCCGGGGGCGTAGAGGCGCTAGTGGCGGCTTGTAGACGGCACTTGAGCACTTAGGCACGACGCATCGGGCTATTCGCGGGATTCAATATAAGGATAAACCTACAAACAATTAAATTATTTGATTCAATAATGTTTTCTATAATTATAGTGTTTATAATTATCATTTTAGTTTTATCCAATTTCTTTTATAATTAATTTTTAACAATTTATAAAATTTTCATAATATATAAATTTTTAAATTGTTGCTAAATTTTTATATAAGAAATATTTTAAATTATTTTTAAATTCAAAATTTTAAAATAAAAATAATTTAATTTAATAAAGATTAAACGTGCACAATTTTAGAGATTGGGTTTAAATTCAATTTTAGAACAACTTATCTATTGCTGAATTGGGTTCAATCTACTGATCCGATTCAAGTTCAACCCGACCCAATGAAATTATTAGCTTTAGACAGTGTCATTTTATTTTTCCATGTTTTAGGGTTTAAGCACACACGCTTCTTTTCCCTCTTTTTTTACTTCTTCAGAACCTTAAACCCAGAAAAATATACCAACAGAGAAAAAAAACCATTTTTTGTTCATTGAAAAATGGATAAGAACGTTTTTGGAGACATAGATAATCTTCCTGAGGAAGATAAGAGAAGAATGTCAATCATGGTAGAACAGCTTCAAATGCGAGATAAGTATGTTTCAATTTTGTTGTTTGATTCTTTTAATTCTTTCGAATGGTTACTTGTATTGTATGTATGATGAGATGTTTCAAATTGAATGAGAAATTTGATGCTAGATTGGGGATCTGGTTTTGGGCTGGAAATGGATTAGGTTTTGTTTGTTAATGGGAATTTAATTTACTGAATATTGGTTTTGTTGCTTGTTTATGTTATTTGCAATGTGTGAAGAATGATTCGGAATTTGTTGATTCTAGTTGGCAACTGAAATGTTGAGTTGTGGTTTCAATTTGATGTGTGTTTAACTTTTTATGATATTGTGTTGAATTGCAGTCAAATATGTATGATTGCCATTGGACCCTAATTGCGGTTGTAGACATTAAAACCACGCTTAAAATCGGGGTTGTGTATGATTAGACTTAATGCGTTGATTTTGTTGAGGATCATAAAAGATATGAATCCCTCTAGATTTTGAATATATAGTTCTCTGTACTATGTTTCTAGTGATTAGCAATCAGGTTATTGGCTAATTCGAACTTTGTTTCCCAGTGTTGTGTTTTTAACTATTCCATGTCAATTGGACCAATATAGTCCAACGAGATTTTAAGTAGGATCGGTCAGCTCGTGAAAGATGGTAAAACTTGGATAGTTAGCACGATACGTAAGATCAAACCAAAGGGAAAGGGGTAATCTTATACATATAACATATATTTTTACACACACATACACAAATACATGAAAATCATAATACAAGCTCAAAAAAAGGACAACACATTTTTTTTCCAATCTTTCTTGCTTCAAAAAGCTTGATCTTGACCACGCCGGCAATGAAAATGATCTTTCTTGGATTGCAGCACTCTTAGACATCCTTAGCATGTAAGATCTTACCGTCTAGCACTCAATCTTGATTAGACTGAATTGGATAATGTTGTCAAATAGCAGTGTGTGGCAGAATTTTGATGAAAATACTATTGTTTTAGTGCACGCTAGGCACCATTGCAGCAGCATTGTAGCGTAGTGGAATGTGAACAAGCCGATTTTTTTTTGCAATATGCAATCGACTATACTTCAAATGGGTTTTCTCTCTAGTGAATCTAGTGATTAGTTTTAACTTATTGTATAATCATATTTTCTCTCGCGACAGCTTTGGCTAAAAATCAGCATTAACATGTTAACTGGAATTGACTTATTGTATAATCATACTTTAGAGTTGTTCTTGTTAAGAACTTAGAGCATATAAATCTTACTTAAATGCAAGTTTAAGATGACTTTACAATTACATTGAGATAATACATCATCACATGTCATTTATTATAGTTTAATATAAACTTTACATATAAAAAAAGCATTAAATTTATTTACGTCTAGAGTTGAAAGATATAAGGATATGAATGCATAAGTTTTATTTGTCCTAGTATGTATAAGGTTGATTTTTCTGATTTAATCTCTGTTCAAACAAAAATTGCAGTCTTAGGTTGTATAATGCATTAGTCGAGAGATGTTTCAAGAATTGCGTCAATACATTCTACCGGAGTTCATTGAACAAGCCAGAGGAAACATGTGTCGTCAGATGTGCTGAAAAATACTTGAGGCTTTCAACGCAAGTCGGCATTAAATATTCAGATATCTATCAAGGTGCATCTACAACAGACAAACAATAGTGTTTTGTGTAACCGAAAATTCGATTTTCTTAGATTTGTATTCTTTTTTTACTGTCAATAACCGGGAATTAATGTTTATGATTGGGGAATGAATTCCTTTATAGATAGAAAAAAATGAACTGGGATTTCTAGAGATAAGCTCTTGTTTTTGTTGTTTAATATGATCTGGTATTGATTCCTGAAGAAACTTTCATACAAATTTTGTACTATCAAGGCATAAATACTATGAAGCACTGACACCTCAAACATGACTCCTCTCTTCGACTTGCAAAATCAAACATGTCTTACATTGATGCTTTTCTATCTACTCGATGATTTGCATTGAATTATTTTCTGATAGATATATTAGACCTGTCATACTATTGTTCTAAGTATTTTGTATCTTAGTCATTATAAGATTATTGACCCCTGAAGATCAGTATTAGAGCGACTCTTCTCCGGCTCTCGATCGGGATAGCCTGGATTAAAAAATAAGATCATTGACCCTTTGATACACATCATTAGAACAATAATTGATATTGTTTTTCTTTTGCTTCCTATGTAACTGTCTATGGTAAAGATCATTTAATACTTACTTTTTAAAACTCTTTTGCCTTACTTGGATTCATGCTCATATCAGTTTTATTGATTATTTAATAAAAACTTTTGGATTGTTTTTATTTAATTTAGTAAAACGTAAATGGATGAAACAATTTTTTTGTATTAAAATCATTTGCTGTCTCTAACTTTTTTATTTGTTGAAAAAACATGAATTTTTCCCATTGTTATAACTTTATAAATACTATCATGATGTAAAAAGAGAAAGTATAAACATAATAGTGGGATATTAACGGATGATTTAGTCCGAAACAAATTTCACGATCGGCAGAGTGATTATTTAGAAAAAGCCTAAATATGATATCCTGTAGAACAATTTTAAATTTGGTAATATATACACCTGATTTTTTTAAATATCCGAAGTATATATTTAATATTGAAAATTTTAAAATATTTGGAAACTATCATATATTTCCTCCATAAGAGGAAAATCTGGATTTGAAAGGTTAAGATTTTGTGGATGTTTTTGTACGTTTGTGATTGCATGGACTGTTCCGTTTTGTGTGGTCTAATAAATTCAAAATTGTATAAATAGGGGTCATGTTTTCTCAATTTTTGTTTAAGGCAGAAGTGTACTTCAAAGGGGCAAAACCTTTCATTTTAGCTTTTCGAGGGAACCACGTTGTCTGACACCGAAAACATAAAGGATAGTAAGTCGAGTTTCGTGAAGACTGAATTTACATAGATGGAATGGTGAAATACAACCTTATTGAGTTAAAGACAGATGAAAATTTGAAAGTTATGTGGAGATCATATCACTATAGGCTAACTAATGGACTGATCGAGTCTGATGCGATAATTTTTAGATCGGTCGACGACATAATCTAAGATGTTGAAACGTCCAGAATAATCGGGTAGTGTTTAACTTTTCTTATTTATTATTGTTTTCTTAAGTTATATAAATGTCTATCAAAGTTATGTAGCCGTTTATCAAATGTTAAGCTATGTTCATCATGCATCAATGAAAGTTTCAAAATGTTATATAATAATGTTATGCAAATATCTGAGTAATATTACACATAATATACAAATAATAATAATAATAATAATAATAATAATAATAATAATAATAATAATAATAATAATAATAATAATAATAATAATGACTAAATAGATCCCCAAGGATTATGTGCGTTGTCTTTAATCAAACTATAAACTCCGCCACCTGGGTTCACTGAATCCATAAGATTATCCATAATGATTGTTATCATCTACATGCATTGAGCATCATCCGCACCATGTGTGGGCGGCGAAGACGGCGACACGTGTAACACCCCATTTTTCTAATTTATTTATTTATTTAAAATTGTGTGTTTTTAATTATTTAAATCGATTCTACGTGCATTTTGAGTGGTTAGTAGTAGTAGTATTTAATGCTTTGGATTGGTACTGCTTAGTTCTAATTATTTACCTAAATAATAAAATTAATAATGCTAGGATAATGGAAATTTTTATTAAAATAATTAGTAGTCATTTTGTTTGATATATTAAAATAAATAGAGAATGAGACTTTTGGTGGAAAATGAGAAAAATAGAAATAGTATAAAATAAGAGGAATATTAGTGGTAATTTTATTAAAATAAAATTATAAATGAGAAGGACATGTTGGTAAATAAGATGTTAATTGAGTGTAGTGTTAAAAGTCTCTAATTAAGGGACATTAAGTTACTAATAAAAAGGTTAGTAAGAGGGTTTTAAGAGTTTTTACTTAAAATAGAATTTTGGGTGAAAAGAGGAAGAGGTAAGGGCTAGGACATAGGAAGAACTTCATTGTTAGAGCTTGAAGTTTCATATTACTGCAAAGTCAGAGGTAGATGGGGGAGGGATTACTTCTAATAGGATGTATTTTGTAGGTTAGAGTAGAGGAAAATCCTTAATCCTGATAGATTTTTATTTACTTTATTCCTTCATGAATGTTGGATAAGTATATGAAATCAAATTTGTAATTGCATGATTATATGTTGTGTTGTGTGAATTTCGTGCACTGTTTTATCATGAGATTTAAGTTTTCATGATTCGTGTTGGTTGTATGTATGTGTGTTCATATGTTGTTGTGAAATTAATGAAAAACCATGATTTAATCCATGGCTAAGTAATGAAATTGCATGATAATCGATGGATAATTATTATATTGTTGTTATATGTTATTATCCTTATTGTTGTTGTGCGACTTGAGGTCAAGGGATGAAAACTCGGAGTTCTGATGTGAACTTTATTTAGAAAATGTAGTTTCTGTTCTAGTTTATGGTGACAGGCATCACCCTCATGATGCCTTGGCAGCCATCAATTTGGAGGCACTAACAGGCGTTAGCTACTTGACGGTAGCCCTTTATGGTCCCCAAACGTGTTTTGTTGGGACGGTCGTCACAGGTGTGATGTGTAATCTGACACGGAAGGTGACGAGCATCACGTTGGTGACGGATAACCTGTCACGCAGCCAGAAGAAGTGTTCTTCGCTTAGCTGAGCAAAATTGTTTTATCGTTCCGATTTTTTGTGTTTCAGGTTGTTGTTTGGCCACTGTTTAGAAGTATATGATGTTGTTTATTATGTTGTTATGGAATTAATTCTCTTGTGTTATATGGAGAATGTTGTTGTGTACATTGGTAATAATTGCATGGTGAACATCTTAGTGATGATGCGTGTTATGGTGAATCATGCATCATGGTGTACGGACTCAGTCCAATTCTGGTGTGCTCTGGTTCTATGGTGGGGATTCAAGAGCGAGTAGCTGGTTCCAGAAGGGAATTGGTGAAGCGTTACCTATAATGTTGATAACGATTTTGGTGTGCTCTGGTCTTATGATGGGAATTCATGAGCGAGATGGACCTATGTTGTCCATAATGGTACCACATGCATTATTGAGTCGTGGTGTTAAGTTTATTGCATTCATTATGTGTATATGCATTAAATAACTATGTTGATGTTGGTGATTGAGAATGATTTGGTGATGTATGTAATTGGATTGTGTTGAATAATTATTGTTTTTAGTTTAGGCTACATTTGTGTAGCGGGGAAATTTGTGAGTGTAAGCTATTGATTAACTTAACTCAAAAATGCAAGAGTCGCCACCGCACTTTTATTTTATCCAAAAAAAGGAAAGGGAAAAAGAGCGAACAAAACCAAATAGTTCTAAAACAAGAACAAAAATAGAGATCTAGGTAAGGGGGTTGGTTACGCAATAGAAATGTGTTAGCACCCAAACCGCCTATAGTACTCTATAGGAGCCCTTTGAAATATTTACACTTTTTTGGTTTGAAAAAGGTTTGTTTGAAAGAAGATTGAGGAGATGAGAAGAGAATTATTTTTTTAGGTTTTTTTGTGTTTGGAGAGACTAATCGCCTCATGCCTACGTACCCACAAAATGCAATATAGGATCAAAACCTCGTAATTCGTGGTACAAATAACAAAAATTTGTTGGTTTTGATTAATTTTAAATGTAAAGACAAATCATCATTTTAAGGAGAAAACTACGACTAGTCACCCACATGTATAAGACAACATTTGCATCACCTAAAGATGGGGGATTTTTGCTTGAATTATCAACAAGTCTATCACTCAACATCAAAATGGAAAATGTCAAAATATTAATACTATGGAGAATAGGAGAATTATATCTCAACTATGAAATGACTCATGTCTAAACTTTATGAAAAGTTTTAAAATGAAAAGTGCACAAAGGCACAAAAATAGTTGATGAGTTTTTTGTATTTTTATATCTTTTGAATTTGGTCAAGAACTTGACAAAAGTCAATGTTTTATTGTGAAAGCGTTTTTACGTTTGAAAACAAGAAGGTTTTTAAAAGAGGGAGAAGATTTTGAAATTTTAAGAAGGGGAGAAGATGAAGAGACTACCCTAGAAAGTAAAATAAAAGCTAGAGATAAGAAGGATCTAACCAACTTGTAGCACACTCCATAGCAAGCCAAATAAGAATTTCATCCATCTTGAAGCATAGCAAATAAGCAAGCCAAATAAAGGCAAACATCTATAATACTCCAAGCATAGGGAAAAGGTCCTAATTCTAAGTCCAAGGGTCCAAGAATAGTCCAAGAAGTCCAAGGTCTAAGAATAGTCTAAGAGCATAACCACAAAGTTAAGAGCACCAAGTCTTTTAGAGGTTTAATCCTTTATTAGTGCTTTGAACAAAGTGTGGTCCAAATGGATAAAAGAAAAATGGCGGAAACATAAACATGTGTCCAACGGACAAAGAAAAAATAACGGAAGCATAAACAAAAGTATGATATGAGATGATAATAATGAATCATAAAGATAAAATAGAGATAGGGAGAAAGAAGGAAACATAAACAAAATTAAAACAAAGATATTGTTAGTGAGTTAGTAGTTAGAGCAAATGATCAAAGACGGTTAATTCTTGCACTTAGACCAAGGTTAATGAAAACTCAC